GGGGCCCGGGGCGGGGGCCCCGCCGGCCCTCGGCGGGGAGCGGCCCCTGGAAGCAGGTCAGACCTACCGTGCCCTCGGGCTGACGTTCCCCGGCGCCCCCGCATCAACGCGCTGCCCGTCCAATGCCGGCGCATCGAATGCAGCTCTGCGCGGCTGTAACTTCAGTCTCTCGCTGGTCGGAGCTGGCAAAACTCGGAGCGTCTGGGTTTCCCACTTCTGCACCCGGTGCGGGGTGCTGTGCTGCGAAAGTGCTTGCTCGCCTTTGGGCCCGCGGAGGGAGAAACTCCCTTATTTCCTTCACAAACTGCGTGTGAATCACGGCAGAGGGCAGGTTCCTCATCTGCGGGTTTCACAGCTGGTCTGTCACTGACCGCTCCTGGGAACGGGACTAAAACCTTAATATTTTAAAAAGCAGGTTCTGGAGAGGCTGTGTCCTGATCCGTTGTGGCCGGCTTTGCGCAGGTGGCTATAGTACAGGTCGCTTTCCGCAGTGCATGCTTCTGCACGTACAGAGATTTACCAGACAGAATAAGCAGGGTGAATTTACGTCGCCGTGACAGCTCAGTCAGGTGCTGGAGGCTAAGTGAGAAAGTAGCCAGAGTGGCTACTGACTGCTCACTGCCTGATGTGCCTTTCAGGTGCTGGAGGACCCCGATGAGCTCGCAGTACTGGAAGAGATCCAACAGGAGTTGATCTTGCAAGGTAATTTCTTGACACGTTTTGTGACTCTTACTTGATTTGTAATAGTCCTGACTTCCCAGTCATCCAGACTCGCTGAGGCTGCGCTCCTTGGCTCTTGTAGGCCACGTGACACAGCAGAGCCTCCTTAGAAATCTCTGCAGCCTCTCTGATGCATTGAGAGCCTTTTTGACAGTTTTAAGTCTTTAAGTGGCATTTTAAGGTCTGTGAGAAGCTACTAAGAGAGACCAGGGAAACAGGACTGAGGTGCCTGGGGGCTGTAGGAACCCCTATAAATCAGTTCAGAATGTTTCTAAAGTGGAAACTCACCCACTTGAGACTGGCTAAAGACTGAGCCATAGGAAAAACTGGATTAACAGGAATGATTTCATCAAGTGTAGAAATCTGATCCAAAGAAAGAAAAGTTCAGAAACTAGTGGCTGCCCCGGCCTCTGTCTGCCCAGCAGCTTCGCCTGTGCTGCTTTGCCTTCAGTTCGTGACAGATGCCCGAGGGTGTTTTGCTGTGTCCTTGCAGAACAGTTGGTTATCGAAGAGTACGAGCGCAGTCTGCAGTTTGATGAAGAATGTCTCAACGCGATGCTTGATGGCTTGGATGCCAGCGACAAGGTCATCTGCCCCGTGTGTAGAAAGTAAGAAAGCCCTTGGCATTGGAACGAGGCTCTCCGCTCTCTTACAGCAGTTTGGGCTTAGAAACAGGCAAAAGCAGCGGGCAAACAGAGGCTGCTGTTACTGTTAATTTCATCGAAAAAACCCTGAGCAATGAGCTCCTAAATCTAAGGTTTTTTGCTAAAATCTACCTTTGTTCAGGTGGTTGTGATGATGCTCATTGTACGCTC